GGAGTAAGGGGATACTAAAAGCCCTTCCATTATACTTTATCTCAGTTCCCTGCTGCAACGGAGCAGGTTAAAGCACCAGTTGTGCTCTCAGGGGCAGTGCTTTCAGCTTCTTTCCAGAGTGTTGGCCCCCGGCACCCAGATTTTGGGAGCTTTAAAGAACTGCAAACATGAGACTGCAGAGTCAGTACTGTATCAACAGCAGGAAACATAGAGAGTTCCTGCTAAAGCCCCTTCTTGGCTGGAGGCCATATCACTGGCCAACCCATATGGGAATGTCCGGTTACATGACTTGCTTATGGATGGGCCAGCCCAATCCTACAGCATGTCAAAATTTCATCCTCCTTCCCTCCTCTGCTCCCCACCCCACCTTGTCAGGAACAATATTTCATCAATAGGATTAATTATTGATGTTAGTTTGCAAGTAAATCACCTCATTGCCTTGGCAGTCTCTGGATTAGCTACTATGAAGAACAGAGACAGGTGACCTGAGAAATTAGTAACAATCTGAAAGAATTGCCTGTAGAACAATTCCAGTTAGGTGGTATGACTTTTAGGAATGGGCTGCAGGTACTCCTGCACTCTATTACCTCTAGCTAAGCCATCTTCTCAGCAGACTAGTTTAGCCCACACGCACTTCCACATTAACACAAGTTATGCAGCTGCTCACAGCACTCAGACCAGCTTGGGCATCCTAACATATGCAGAGTGCCACAGAGATGACTTCAGAATTAGTCTTGGCTTTGAGTATCAGTGCTAGTAGTAAGAAACCCAGTCTCTGTTGGACAGCTATAACATGGCACACAGAAGTAATCACACATTTTTTTATACGTGTTTTCATATCTTTCACTGGGAATTGAGTGAATGTGAGCGTTCCTGTTGGGTATACATCAGTAACCAATGCAATGTCTACTCTCTCATGTGATCTTTGTTTCTGAGAAAAAAGGAGTGAGAGAGCTTCCCAAACCATAAGGATTTGTCTTTCGTCATTTAAAGCTTACATGACACAAAGAATAGGGATTAGTCCTGAGTGTCACAGCCTGTGTGGTGGCAGGGAGGTTAGCTGCACCTTGCCAGTGACTCTGAGTGCAGCCCTTGCAGCGTCAGATCTCTGATCCGCTGGGGAACATCGCAGTTGTCTTACACCAGTGTTAAGATGTCAGGTCCATTTAGGCTTAGCACTTGTATTTTCCCTTCAGGACTCTATGGCATACAGAATATAGAATAACTGTCTTTAAACTAAAACTTTAGTTATTTTAAAAATAGAAAGATACCATTCGCAAAGAAAAGCAAAACTAAACAGCCTTTATAGGACCAAAGACCATCCTATCTCAGCGCTTACCATCATAATATGAACCTAAGTAGGCCTAAGTGTTTCACTAAGGTGTCTGTCACCTACTTGGTTCCCTCAAATCACTTTCTGAACAAGTGTCCCTCTATCTAAGGCAATACATACTTTACAAACTCAACACATTCCTTTTTCATCCTTCCCTTCCTTGACTCATGAGCAGTTTTTTGTTCATCATTGCCTCTTAACAAGCCTTAAATGCTCGTGGAGAGAGATTTTGTTCCTTTTTAGTTGGTTATACTTTACAGCCCCGTAACAAGGCCTATCTATTCTTTCATTCAGTAAACATCTCAGTATCTGTAAAACACAGGATAACTATAAAGTAGTACAAAGCAACTCCACACCTGTAACACCATGGTATTTGAAAATGTCCAGAATCTTCACTGAAGCCATCACAGAATAGTAGTCAATGTCCTCACTGTTTTCATTTACTAGGACCAAGATATCAATAGTGTTAATGCAAATAACATCAAAGCATTTGCAAATGAAGGAACTCTTCCTGAAATTAGGTCTCCTGTTCCTGTGGAAACAGTGAAGTAATCTGTACGGTTACATATGAGTCCTACCAATTACGTGCCCACTTACACACTCATTTGTGGCAGTAAAACTCCAAATAACATCCAAGTGCACTATTTGTTCCCTCCTCAAGAGCAGAACATAACTTGCATTGAATGCAACATACCTGAGCTTCATTTGTGTACCCAGCCCTCAGAAATGGCACACGAGCTCTCATGCTCATATGTAATCTAAGCCAGTGGTTTTCATTCGTATTTGTTGATCTCTTGAATTTTACGTTACAGTGGAAATGTCAGAGTTTCTGTGACCTGCAGCAATTTCACATATCTAACTTAGGACACAGTATATGTGAATCTGTTTTTCTTTTACAAATTCTTTAGAATTTAGAGGTACGCCATTGAACTCCTGTGGCTGAAAAATACTGATTTAGTAAATTCTTTATCTATTTGTTGGGTCACACTGCCTTTTAAGTGTTACATTATACTCTCTTTCTAGTTCCACTTAATTTTTACTTCTGATCTTAATTAAAAGATGCTTTCAAGTATTCAGCAGTTTTGTTTCTTTTATTGTGCCTAGTGAATCTAACTGAAAGAGATGATAGTATTTGGTTAAAAGCAAGAAAAAAGTACTTAAAAAGGGAAGCTTTGTACATAAACGCATCAGAATGAAATCTTCCAGCTCCGAAGCAGCCTCTGTAGTTCTTCTGTTTTGTTTCAGAAAACATTCCCAAAGCTTTCCAAGACTTTAAAAAATCTCCTATCAGGCATGAAGCATTAATCTTTAAAATTAAAGCTGCTAGAGCTGAATTTCCAGTCTTCTAACAATTACTGGGTGGTTTTTGTTTTGGGAGAAAGGATAATCTTGTGGTTAACTCACTAGAGGAAGAAGAAAAAATCCCAAGTCAGTTCCCAGTATCATCACCAACTTCCTGTATGATCTTCGACAACCCAGACTGACTTTTTTCTGTTTATCCGAATAAATGTAAAAATGGGAATACTAATATAAAATGGGAACAGCAGCATTTCTGAGTGACGTTGTATGGAGAAGGCACGGTAAGTATAAGGTGCCTGTACAAGAAAGAGCCATAAACTCAAAATGCCCCTCATATTTACTGAGGACTATCTAGGTCCCACTGGGCATACAATGGCCAAAAAGGCTTCAAAAGGAATTGTGTGTAACAGACTATTTGAAATAGTATCATCTAGGCTAGAGCTCATGTGGACTGCTCTGCTTGGGGGAATGGTGGAAAAGATGGAAAACTCGCTCCTGTAAATAGCATATTTTGGAGAGAAAAAACTGACATGAAATATAAATCCATACTTCAGCAAAAAGAGTCACCTAGGGTGTATTGGAGATGGCCTTTATGTTGCTGGCAATAAAGAATGGGTGGTGGTACAAGCTGTGCAAACCTTCCTGGAGTCCCTGTCCATGAGGGTAGCTGGCTAGTGCTGAATTGTGCAAAATGACACCTTTACTGCCCTTAGACAGCTAATGATAACAATGCTAAACCTGCCTTTACTGCAGTCCCTCCTCCAAGCACAGTGCGTTTATACCTACACAACGCGCTCTCTCTGGCTTAACTTCAGCTGTCTACGGGTCAGGCATCTACGCTGAGTACACAAACAACTGTGCCGTGTGATACAGTCCAAAGCCTTGTTGATGTAGCTACTCATCAGCCTGTGTTTGCGCCTTTATTCGAAATATCTGCAAAAGGACATCTCTGTCAAGAGCATGGAGTGGTCCCGACTCTCTTTAGTCAACTTTTCTGGAGTTTCCCATAGGAAAGCCAGATGTCCTCATAGGTTTCATCACTAGGTTTTCATTAATTTTTCAAAAGGTGCCTTTAAAATGTGGTGGAATTTTCATTTGGCCTGTAAGATTTCTATTCAAACCTGAAATTAATTTGTATAGATAATATATTCCACTTCTGTTACATGAACTATCTAATCGTAAGATGGAAATACAGGAATATTTCCTAAACTGGTTTTATTTTAAAGATGTCCACTCAGGGCATATTGCAATAAAAATACTGTATGCATACTGGCTATCTCTGTACATTCACATTTATATATAACCATACGCTGTACATATATTACATGCCCAAGTAGCCACATACACATACAGGAGCTCTCTCATACTCAGTTTTGAAGAACCGCCAGCATGATGGGAGAGTCATCCTGAACAGAGTTCCCAGACGCTAACATAGTAATAGGATGTGTGGGTGGCTGAAGCTGGAAGGCATAAAGAACTGCCCTGCTTACTTGCTACATTTAAGTAAGCTCTTCTAATTTCTTTTGTGCTCTCAAAAAAACCCCCGAATTGTATTGTGTTCTCATTTAAATAAACCACAAATGTTAAGATTAAATATAACCTAAAGAATCATAACTTTTGCTTAATGATTAAGCTGTCAAAGTCTGCCTAAATAAAGGAATCAGTTTAAAAGTCCCTGCAAACACTAGGTTTAAATTATTTTCAAGACCTATAAAGAGACAACAGAAAACATAAACAGCCTGAACTGTTTAAAACGTGCGTTCCCTCTAATTAAATAAGAAACATCTGTCTTGGGATTTTGGAAGTGGATATAATCTATCCACATTGTGCCTAAATCAGTTTGCATCTAGCTTCCAATACTCTGAAATAAAATTCTTGCTTTCTGAAAAGAAATAAGCATGCCACATGAGGTACTTCATCCATCTGAACAGATGGAGAAACCCTTGCTGAAAATAACAACAAAGACTAGCAATCTCGTGATTTCCAGGGTTCAGAGAAGCGTGTGAGACAAGGGTTTTGGGGTTTTGCCTTCTGAGCACTCAAAAAAAAAAAAAAAAGGCAAAAAAACCCAAACCAAAAGAAACCACACTATTTTCAAAATGAGGCATCTGCCACAAACACCTCTCATCCAGCACTAAGATCCTGGAAGTCATACTCCTGTTATTCCTCTGGGGACCATTAAACCCTTGCCTGCAAGCGCACATGCATGCAGACGCCCAGGAGGGCGATTCCTCCAGCGAACTGCAGATACCCAGACCAAAGTGACACAACGAAAGCGAGCGCGGAAGCCACTCGTGCCCAGGTGGGACCTGAGCACAGCAGAGCAACACACCCAACGCTGCGCGACGCGATGCAGAGATTTACTTACTGGTATTATCGAAGGGTATCTGCCTGCACTGGGTGGCGGGCCAGGCGCAGTAGTACACCGCTCCTCCTTCCACTATGTCTGGCTGCGTGGTGTTGGCTTTGGGAGCTCCCACCAGGACACTGACTCTGCGAAACACACCGGAAAGTCGCCGGGGCGCTGGGGGCCACGGGGACCGACGGGCGGCGGCCCCGGCACGGCGGCCGCTGTCACC